CTTTTCCTGAAGATAGAAGAGTTTGATGAATCTGACGTGACGTGTTCGTACGAACCCTTTGTACGAACAAAAGTAAGAGAAATTTAGGATAAGAATACAAACATGTTCTTGCATGAGGCCCATTGAGTTTTGAATGAAAAAAAATCGATTTTGAATCGAATCGTGAGACAGTAAAAGATTCCCTACCCTAATTTGCATAGATAAATGTTAACATAGGTTTAAGAGAACACCATTTATATTATCTATAATTTGTACAAATTATATTTATTTGATTGATTGTGTAGATTGTGATTTTTTAATCAATCTGATGATAGTCAGATGCAGTGTTTCCCCTACCATTATACAGGTGACCCCCCCGCCAACGAAACGGCCCGCCCCTCTAAGAATTTCACGGCATGTAGTCATTTTTATTTAGATAAGGCCAGATCAAGTCGAGAGCTATTTTTTTGCGTCCCTCCATATCCACCTCTCACCAAACTTGGGGGGAAAAAGACGGCGCAGAGCGAGGCTGAACGCTGTGTGTGGTCCTCACAAAGATAGGAAGATATGTGTGAGATTAGACGCGCAGCTCTGCTTTTAATCACGTTGCACCGATGCGACAACTTTGCAAGCTACTTTTTCTTTCTTTAAAAGAAAATGCAACAGGTGAAGCCACAGCATTGTTACCTTATCAATAATTACTGCCTTTTTTTCTTTCTCTGTGGGTGGGGGCTCAGCTTCACTCAGCTGCAGGTGAACACCTCCCGGGAACGCACACGTTTCCTGGACTATTTTCCACCGAGGATTACGTCGTATTTTATTTTTATTATATTTCTAAAAGCACTTCGCAGCATTTCCCCCTGTGTGTTCACGTCACGAGTGCAACAAAACCGCGACGGATCAGCTGACTGTTTTTAAAGCGAGGTTCGTTGACCGCAGCTGTGCAGGGTGGTGGGGAGGAGGGGGAGGAGGAGGAGAAGGGTCTTTTAAAGACATGTCTACATTTGACTTTTATTTTTTCTAAAATCACAGAGTTCTCTGAGTCAGCTTGAGATGTTTGTAGTTAATCATTATATCTTCTACATTTAACCAGGTGTTTCATTGCCTTTAAATTACACAATTCCTTTACTGGAGAAACTTGTCAGTTTGGTTAAAAAACAGTATTTTTTTCTGTGCAGAGAACTTCCTCTGCTATAATTTGTTTAAAATAAATATATCAAAGCTCCTCAGTTGAAAACACTAAAATTATCGAAAAGATGTTTAAAAACTTTTCTCAGAAAGTCTTCAGTCCTAAGAACACTAAACTGTAACTTTTAATAAGTACACAGTGTACTCCTATTTAAATAAAAATGTTTGACCTGTAAGCAGAAAGCTTATGGATGTTGGTTTTTTATCTCTATTT